GATCCCGAGCGCTTGAAACGCCTGCAGGTCTTGGACGACGTGTGCGAAGGCAAGCTGAGCGAAGTGATGAGCATTCCCCACAGCTTCGTGGTGCTTTCCAGTTCAGAGACCCCGGTGGCAACCTTGCGATGCATTGCCTTCAGCGGAATGCCTCACGTCACTGGAGTCACCGGCTTCACGCAAGGCGAAGGTGTTCTGCAGCTGAGTAAGCTTTCCGGCGCCGGGGGTCGACATCGCCTGCATTTTCTCATGCAAGAAGCTGTGAAGACTTTTGAAGGCGATGAGAAGTGGAACAAGGCCAAGAAGTTGAATCGATCTTTGACCTTGACTGAAGATCGCAAAGAGACTGTTGAGCAATGGGATGTGGAAGGTATCTACACGTCTAAGCACGGCCTCAAGGCCAGCAGCATGGCTATCGAAGTGGAGGGCAACATCATCTCCGCTAATGCAGAACTTTCGAACTTGGCGACTATGACGACGCACTTCTCATCGAAGGAGACCAAGACAGACTATCAGGTGGCTGCGCGGCCACAGCCCCGGCAAGAGCAGAGCGACTGCCCAGGCTGCCCGTGCATGACGATTCTCCTCGCCCCTTGCGTTGGCCTCCTGGCCTGTCTCCTCGCCCCTTGCGTTTGCCTTGCGGCCTGCCTTGCTGTCATCGAAGCCTGCCTCTCCTGCCAGCTGTGCAAGCCATCGCCACGGGCCCCCGTTTGCCCATGCGGTCCCAAATGGGCCCTCTTTTGCCCATGCTGTCCCAAACGGCCTCCGCCTGCGCCAGTGGTCGGCCGCGCAGTGATGGTGGGAAACTGGACTTCGGTGGAAGGAAACCTGGGAGAATGGCAAGGCTCTGCCATTCACAGGCCTGGTTTTGCAGATGGCATGACAAAGGAGATGAAGGGAGAGACAGAGAAGGTCGTCCACAAGTTCTTCTTCCCGAAAGTCCAGGATTGCAACGGGGATCAGACGACTACCACCAAGTACGAGAAGATGCACGTCATCCATGTTCTCTACCGCCTGCCGCTGCAGAGGCCCACCATCTTCACCGCCTGGGTTCACCCAGACCAGTCTGGAGCTGCTGCCCTTCGCTTCGTCCAGGAGCTCAGTGGAGCCGCGACGGCTCGATGCAACAGCTTGGAGGGCACACAGGCGATCTACCACGCCGAGTCCAGTGATGCGGTTCTGCAGCGGCAGCAGCACTTCTCCCATTTGTGGAAGCAGGCAGCCGGGTGGTCCCAATATGGCGATGATGTTCATGGGGCTGCGGAGCAGGCCGATGTTCAGACGGTGGTGGTCCAAAAGCAAACATGCGGCCAACAGGCGGCCAAATGGGCACGGGCCCAGGGCCTTCAATTCTGGCTCAAGGTGGCCCTCGCGGCAACCTGCCTCGTCCTTGTCCTGATTCTGGTGGCCCAGATTTGAGCAAAGCAGGTTCGGATGTGGAGCTCAGAGTGTAAAGCCAGCCTTTGGGATTTCAGCTTCACAGCATGTCACACGCGCCCAGGACTTAGA